GATAAATATCTAAGTGACTTCAACTCAAAGTATTGTGCATCATGTTAAATTTGAAGAATGAATCCAGCTATAAAGTGTTGGTTTCACGGATGTCTGTTTATACAGGATATAAAATATTATTGATGTAAGATAATCTTGATCAACTCATTTAAACCTTCTTGCCCAGCGTCAGTATATGATCATGATGTAACAGTAGGGGCGTAGTTTTACGTGACACGGAGTATGAACGCCTGCTCTGCAACCTTGTGGTATTTCTCCGGGTCCTCCGGTTTCCTCCCACTTCTGCAGACCCCTACGCGCAGGCATATTATTGAAATAAAATAGAACCATATGTTAGTCCCGAAATGGCCGAGTTTGTGTCGAGTGGACGTTAAACCCATCTCTCCCCCTCTCTCTCTCTCTCTCTCTCTCTCTCCTAAGCTTGTGTCTTTTTGTTTTAGCATAACGTCTGCACCGAAGGATATACACGGAATCGATATATTCTTTTTAATATGAACTGGCAAACTGTGTCTATCTATCTATGTGTTACCTATTAAAATTTGTACTACCAAAAATGTATTAACTATTAAATTTCAGAATATTACATTCGAATGTAAAAGATTGCATTAAAATATTGCAATATAATGTAAAATAAGGCAATAAAATGTAAAATATGGCAACAAAATATATAATATGGCAATAAAATATAAAATATTGTTACGGCCTACTCTTATATGGAATTCCAAGTGGCAAGGGAACTTTTACATGCACACTAATCTTTTTTTGATCTCATCCGAACGACTGAACACTCTTCCTTGCCAGGTCCCCCGTCCTGCACAACCTTCTCGGCCAACGCGGTGTCAAACTAGTCAAACTATCAAATAAATCAGAAATGAAATGGGGTTTAACGCTCCTATACTGGGTTAATGAAGACGGGCATACGCCATACAGTGTGCTATGAGGGAAATTTTGCCCGGGCAACGGCACTATCGCCTACTCTTATATTGAATTCCAACTGTCAGGGGATCTTTTACGTGCATTCCAATATATACACCGGACCTCGGTTTTTCGTTTCATCCGAAGGACTAGACAGCTGTCCTTGTCGGGCCCTCCGTTCTGCACCACTGACAAGGGGAAACCACGTCGTACAATCCTGATGAACTTTCTCGAACAATGCAGGGATCGAACACCCGACCCCCAGGCTAGCGAGCCAGCGTCTTAACCACTTAGCCACCGTGGCTTCCAAATAAATCAGAGAGAGTGAGAGAAAGACTTGTATGTATATCACGTGTTTATGGTAAATGAAGTATCTTCGCTCTGAATAACATAGTCTATATGTAGGTACAAATGACGTTAATAAATGGAATAAGTTATATAGATTTAGTCTACGTGACTGTCATGAATATAAATCTATACAATAAACTATAACAAATTATAATACACAGATATTATATAACATATAATAACTGATATACATCTATATAATAACCAATAACCAATTACAATAGATAGATCAAAGATCATCAAGGCGCTCTACACGACGATTGTCAATATGCATAAACATAACAAAAGAATAAGAAAGACGGGCGGGGCGGGTTGGGGTGTTATGTTTAAGTAACCATTGTGTATGTGGTGTTGGGGGAGGGGGTGGGGAGATGTTTAAGCACTCTATCAACATCTTGCCCATGTAGGGGGAGGGTGGGTGGGGCGGATGCTTAAGCCCTCTATCAACAGCTTGCCCCTGTTGCGGGAGTGGGCGGATGCTTAAGTCCTTTATCATTAGCTTGCCCCTGTTGGGGGAGTGGGCAGATGCTTAAGCCCTATATTAACAGCTTGCCCCGGTTGGGGGAGTGGGCGGATGCTTAAGTCCTTTATCATTAGCTTGCCCTTGTTGGGGGAGTGGGCAGATGCTTAAGTCCTTTACCAACAGCTTGCCCCTTTATTTATCATTTTGGGAACCACCGTGGCTAAGAGGGTAAGACACTGGCTCGCTAGCCTGGGGGTCGCGAGTTCGATCCCTGCATTGGCCGAGAAAGTTCATCCGGATTTTCCCACGTGGTTTCCCCTTGTCATTGGCGCAGAGCGGAAGTCCTGATAAGGACAGTGGTCTAGTGGTACGGATGGGACGAAAAACCGAGGTCCCGTGTATACATAGGCGTGCACAGGTGGAATTTGATGAAAGAGTAGACCATAGTGCCGGTGCCCTGGCAAAATTTTCCCCATAACACACTGTATGGCGTGGACGTTAAACCCCATTTCTCTCTCTCTCTCTCTCTCTCTCTCTCTCTCTCTCTTTCTCATTCGGATGAGACGAAAAACCGAGGTCCCGTGTACACATTGGAGTGCACGTAAAAGATCCCTTGACAGTTGGAATTCGATATAAGAGTAGGCCGTAGTGCCGCTGTCCGGGCAAAATTTCCCTCATGGCACACTGTATGGCGTATGCCCGTCTTCATTAGCCCAATTCGGAGCAAAACAGTAGGACGTTAAACCCCATTTCATTTCATTTCAAATCCTACACTAGCTTTTAAAAAAACATAGTCACTGTATAAAATATATTATATATTATATATTTAAAAACACAACACAATTTATATGGAAAACAATCACTGGTTTTTATACCTATAGCACGACGTTTCGGCAAATATAAAATTATCGTTTTCAAGTAAAAATATACCTGAAAAAGATAAGAGGGGTGGACAGGCGAGTGGGGGCGGGGCGAATGGTTAAAGCGTGCGCGTTGTATCATAAGGTCTGACATTGATTCAACTGGCGTGGTTTCGATTCCCTAGTTGTACGTGACAAAGAGTAAGTTCGCCTGTCCCAACCTCGTGGGTTTTCTCCGGGTCCTCCCACTACTAAAGACCCCTACGCGCAAGCGAATTATTGAAATAAATATGAACCATATTTTAGCCCCGCAGTAACCTAGTATATGTCGAGTGGGCGTTAAACCCCATCTCTCTCTCTCTCTCTCTCTCTCTCTCTCTCTCACTCACACACACACACACACACACACACACACACTGCCGTATATTGAGCTAAACTAAATACTTTGATCCATCTTTAATAGGAAAAGCTAATGGACGGAACACTGAACCCCGGGCGAACTACATTTCAGTCAATTTCCGCTTGACTTGTTCTATAGTATATAGTGGTTTATTACATACTCATACCTATTTCCTATACTTATAACATAGTGTTAATAATAGTCATGATTCGACATATTTATACGTGCTTTAGGGAGTACTGACTAGTAAGCGATTGGGTGTGGGCTTTAAACGACTACTTATAACATTCTGAAGGTGAGGTCCTAATATTATAATATACTGTCATTGATTTTTGTGAAATACTGATCGTGAAGTCCTAATGTTATACTGTCGTTTGGTTTTGTGGAATCACTAATCGGGAGGTCCTAATATTATACTGTCGTTCATTTTTGTGAAGTCATTGATCGTGAGGTCCTAATATTATATACTGTCGTTCATTTTTGTGAAATCACTGATCGTGAAGTCCTAATGTTATACTGTCGTTTGGTTTTGTGAAATCACTGATCGTGAGTTCCTAATATTATATACTGTCGTTCATTTTTGTGAAATCACTGATCGTGAAGTCCTAATGTTATACTGTCGTTCATTTTTATAAAAACACTGATTGTGAGGTTCTAGTATTATACTGTCGTTGCGTTTTGTGAAATCACTTATCGTGAGTTCCTAATATTATATGCTGTCGTTGCGTTTTGTGAAATCACTTATCGTGAGGTACTAAATTATGTATGGTCGCTGATTTTTGTGAAATCACTTATTCTGAGGTCCTGATATTAAATACTCTCGTTGCGTGCACTGGTCGTGAGGTCCTAATATTATATACTGTTGTTCAATTTTGTGAAATCACTGATCGTGAGGTCCTAATGTTATATACTGTCGTTCATTTTTGTGAAATCACTGATCTTAAATTCCTAATATTTTATACTGTCGTTCATTTTTGTGAAGTCACTGGTCGTGAGGTCCTAATATTATATACTGTCGTTCATTTTTGTGAAATCACTGATCGTGTGGTCCTAATGTTATACTGTCGTTGCGTTTTGTGAGATCACTTATCATAAGGTCCTTAAATTATGTACTGTGAGTGGACGTTAAACCCCATCCCTCTGGTGTTTACATAACGCTGGTGTTTACAGGCACAAATAATCTGTGATATGATTTTGGTGGTAATCAAGACAAAACGCCAAGCGGACAAAATGGTAAATTTATCACCGGGTTTCTTGCCTGTGAACTTTATATCCCGGATTTTAAAACCCGTATTCATTTTGGTACAGTCTTCATTTTTCCGGTTGCTGAAGTAGAGAAGGATGCTAACCGTCATTTCGGTTTAATTTATTTGAATAATTTGCTTGCGCGTAGGGGTCTATAACAGTGGGAGGAAAGCGATCTTACTCCTTCCCACGTATAAACGGGGAATCGAAACCACGCCACTTGACTCAATAACAGACTTTATGATACAACGCGCACGCGTTAACCGTCTGACTCGTTTAAAAATACAGTAGATCTATAGACTAGTCTCTCAATAACGACTGTTTCTTCCGGAAAGTTTCTAATATTAGGTTCCCACTACCACGATTCACGCTACGATTGAATCGTGGTTTTAATCGTGGAGTAATCGTGGTGATATAATCAGGACTTATCATATATTGTGCTCAGTCGTAGCAAGCATGGCCTGACAAGGACAGCTGTCTAGTATGTCTGATGGTACGAAAAACCGAGGTCACGTGTATTCATTGGCGTGCACTTAATATATCTCTTGGCAGTTGAAATTCGATATAAGAGTAGGCCATCGTGCCTGCCCGGGCAAAATTTCCCCCATAGCACTGTATGGCGTATACCCGTCTTCATTAGCCCATTCGGGGCAGAACAGTAGAACGTTAAATCAGTTTCCTTTTTTTTTTAAGATATGATATGGTAAAGACATATTAGATTATGATCAGAATGTTAATTACCATATAATTAAAAATTTTCTCTTTCCAGATGGCACCAAAAGCCTTTGGACAGTCGGTCACTACCACCACCACCACCACTACCACTACCCCAAGAATGACCAAACATTTAGACAAGGCAGCACCTAAATCAACAACTGATACCGAATTCGTTAAAACGTCTAATTTAATTTATGGAATCCGGACATGTATTATATTAATTAGTATACTAGGATATTATTATAGGAACTATTTACAAGTACCAGTAGATCTAACATGGCGATATCTAACTTCCGCTTGGTGGTTTCAATCGGTGTACTTCGAGAGTTTCTTCGCCACTTTTTGCTACGTGGTGATAATACCCATTTATCCATTTGCGTTCCATTTTATTAAAAGATTTGATAAATACAAAATCGAACCATCTGTGAATTACGTCCATCAAACTGTTATTGGTATGATAATTCAAGGATTTGTCTATTTAGCGCCGCTCATGCTCATGGATACCTTCATGGTAAAGAAATATGTCGGAATAGAAGCGGAAGTATGGGATGAGAAGCGGAAGTCATGGATACAAACAACACGAGCTCTACCGGAAGAAGCGCCATCTTTGTTTCAGTTAATCTTCCAGTTAATTGGAAGCATTGTGGTGTACGACGCTCTATTTTTCTGCGTTCATCTTGCCATTCATAAAAATTTCTGGCTGTACAAAAATCTGCACGCCGTGCATCACGATCACGAGGTCATGAATGCACACGTGACCAACCAGCTATCCGTGAGCGAAAGGATCATTCTGATTCTCTCGGCTAATTTCTCTCTCAAGATTTTCAACAGCCACCCTCTCACTCGGATGGTATTTGTTCCTACGTTTATTTTCATGCTTGTCGACAACCACATGGGCTACGATCTACCTTTGGGGATGGATAAAATTGTTCCTTGGCAGCTAATGGGAGGACCACGTAAACATTATCACCATCATGTACACGGTGGCGGTGATTATCAACCGTTCTTCTGCTATCTCGATAAACTCTTAGAAAAAAGAAGAAACCCCAAACAATGTGATTAATTCTCAAGTTTTATAGAATATACCAATTCATTAAAGTCGCTCAACGTCATTTGAGATTTTGAAGAAGCTCTTGCCAACGGCTCAAAAGGCACCACTAACTCTAATCTTCCCTGAAATCTGTTGATGAGCCTCTTTTAATCCGATTGAATCAAAGCATATATTTTGATTTTATTTTCTGGAATGAAATGAAATGGATTTTAATGGTTAATGAAGACGGAGATTTTATTTTCTTAATTAAATTAAGTGCTAAATAATTAGTTAAGCCGTGGAAATATTTAGTATTTTCCTAAACATTCAAATGACGCACGGAGACTTTAATATTGAATATCTAACCCAACAGCTGTGATATTTCATAGACATTTTATTAAAGTTTTATTTTCTTGTTACATAAATGTTCATTTTCGCTCATAAAATGAAATGGGATTTAGCGCCCGACTTGTCTGCATTCACTGGGCTAATGAAGACCGACATACCCCATACAGTGTTCTATGGGGTAAATTCTAACCGCCATTGATTCTTTTACGTACACAGGACCTCGGTTTTTAAGAAATACTGCAATTCGATTGGCTGATCAGTAAAATCAATTTGCATATATCCAATTTGCATATTGGTCAGCCAATGGAATTGCAGTATTTCTTAAAATTTCGATTGTATCTTAGTTTAAGTTTTCGTGAATAAGGGCCCTAGACAATAAAGGAGTCCTTTTAGAGTTATCTCCCCCTTCAGTGAAAATGTTCATTCTCATAATGTTTATGTCGTTATGGAGTTTTTGGAACATGTTAGAATTTATGAACTTTTTTGATATTTCCTTTTAAAACCTAGGCATCAGACCAAATATGCCCGTTCCGAACTGCTTGACTGTAAACAAAAAGCATCTTGTGTCCGTGATTTATGGCAAATGGCAAATCCTACTGTAATGACGAGGTTCGGCGCAGGTAAGGTAAAGCGGTATTTATGGCGTTTGATAATCCATGTACTATCTATACTATTATACCTCAACATCGAATTGTAGATAATATTAGTGATGGACCACGTATCTGCAGCATAATCAAGTTCATATTTTGAAACTATTCTTGGTTGAGGAAGGGGTGGGGGGGGGGAACCAGTAGCGACGTTAGCATAATTAAGTCTGCTGTAATGGTTGGGCCGTTACTGTTTAAGAAAAAGAAATTCAATGGGGTGAATACTTATTATAGTATTGTTGGGTGCCATGGTAATATTCCAGGTACTCGACTGTTCTATGTCAGTCTACTGTAATGGTTGGGCCGTTACTGTTTAAGAAAACGACGTTCAAGGGGTGAATAGTTATTATAGTATTGTTGGGTGTTATGGTAACATTCCAGGTACTCGACTGTTTTAAGTAATGTTTTATCGTAGTTTATTTTATTCTAAACCATAAATTTGTTATTGTTTATTTTAAATTAAGCTAATTTAAATATATATATATATATATCTTTATTTCGTTTCATCTGTCAAAAATATCGTTTTTTATAACTCTAATCTTTGGAACCTTCAAATCGAAGAGGCAGACCACCATTTATTACCCCACTAGCAGGATACCCGGCTTTGCTCGGGGGTCATAACTCCGAAACCGGAAGTGGTAGACTAACGCCACCTGGCCTATGTTACTCCCCGGTCCGAGCTACCCCTATACCCCAAATTTCAGACTCGGGGCAGACCTAGTGTAGCCGCCAACCCCGAACAGACAGACAGACAGACAAACGACAGTCACAAATATTAGTATAGAAGATTCACTTCAATTTTAAGTCTGGTTTCTTATTCCGACTCCAACTTTTCCCGAAATTGTTGTTGAGTTGAGCGCTTTCCAACACAGATGGAAATGAAATGAAATGGGGTTTAACGTCCTACAGTTTAATGTCCACGTGACACAAACTAGGCCATTTCGTGACTAACATATGGTTCAATTTTTTATTTCGATAATTCGCTTACATGGGTCTTTAGCAGAGCGAGGAAACCGGAGGACCCGGAGTGAAAGCCCACGAGAGAGAGAGAGAGAGAGAAATGGGGTTTAACGTCCACTCGACACAAACTAGGTCATTTCGGGACTAACACATGGTTTAATTTTATTTACATAATTCGCTTGCGCGTAGGCGTCTTTAGCAGTGGGAGGAAACCGGAGGACCCGGAGAAAACCCACGAGGTTGGACAGGCGACCCTACTCCTTGCCACGTACAACCGGGGAATCGCAACCACGCCAGCTGACTCATTGACAGACCTTATGATACAGCGCGCACGCGCTAACCATTCGGCCAGCCAACACCACCACCCACCCACCCCCAAACACGGATTGAGAAAAAAGTTGTGTTTTTAAGCCTAGCTCACCACCCGTGGTACGTGTTAATACGGGCAGTCTACGGGGGTAATTTCAGTAAACCCGTGCGCGAGACTTTGGCGTCACTCGCGTGTGTTCGGCACCGTAGAAGATCGCAGGCTAGCTGTAGAGAATTTTGGTCCTGCACATATAAAAAATTTCACCCGGTTACTTGCGGCTATTCTGCGAGCTATACCAATCCCTCGCCGAATGCGTGACAAAACATATGGCGGGTTATGAGCTAGGCTTTAACTACAGACCGAGCAACAAATGGCAATGTCTTTGCTCCAGATTTTGTATAGGGTTGACCAATAAAATTTTGATATGCATTAACTTGAAGTGAAATAAAATGAAATGGGGTTTAACGTCCCACTGGTCTGCTCCTGTTTGGGCTAATGAAGACGGGCATACGTCATACAGTGTTTCATGAGGGAACTTTGCCCGGACAGCGGCGCTATGGCCTACTCTTATACCGAATTCCAACTGCCAAGGGATCTTGTACGTGCACGCCAATGTGTACACGGGATCTCGGTTTTTCGTCTCATTCGAACGAGAAACCACGCCGGAAATTTCCGAGGAACTTTCTCGGCCAACAGAGAGAGAGAGAGAATTGTTATAAATAGTGAAATTTAATGGTGGTCTGCCTCCAAAATAGACGCAAATGGGTCTAAAAGGAATTTTTTTATTTAATATGAATGTATATCAACTGATTTATATTTTCTAGAAAAATATTGTAATTTCTGACAAATCAAGTATGTTCGGTGACAAAGGTGATTAGTCCATTCTTCACTGAGGTTTTTTTTTATTATTTTTTTTTTACTCGGCCCTTTTTGATATTTTTTATACGCTCATATTTTCACGTGGACGTATATTGTCGTCGTCCTCGCCCTTTCGTTCGATATTGGCATTATCGGACCGTAACTTCATGGATTATGGCCCCTGAGAGTAGGAAAGAAAAATCATGTCTTTGGCTTGTAGACACTCTAGAGGTCACAATTTTTATTCGATTATGATGAAACTAGCGCTCAAACCATTGAGCACACGACGTCGTGTACTGATTTTAAAGTGTTCAGTGGATATTTTCACGGTAAGATATCATCAATATTGATTGAGATGCAACAATATTCGATATAAGAGTAGGCCGCTGCACGGGTAAAATTTCCCTCATAGCCCAGTGTATGACGTATGATAGTCTTCATTGGCCCAGTCGGGGCAGAACAGTAGGACATTGAGGTTGTGATCCTGCCGGGAAAGGGTAGGCTTCTGATATCCAATATTTAAGACAAAATAAACAATTTACCATTGGTACACGAATCGTGTACCATTAACCATTTCAGCGCCATTTGTAACAAGGGAATCGAAGAACGGGGCTAGACATATTCCATAAGTCATGTCAAACGGTGACCTCGTATTCTTATCTGGAGAGCATGAGCAATAAATACTATTAGTAGACTGAAATAACCGGCGCTAGAGATTGCCATTCGATTGACACTTCGGGCGTATTTCGCCGAACATAACGTGATTTGAAATGGGAGTAAAAACGGAAAAAACAAAACGATCGAGTGTATATCAGTTTATTTATTGTTGTTTGTTAGTTGTATTTTACGTCCGCTTCCACCGAGGTGATATCGCAGACAACAGTTTATTTATATTCATATTGGGATCTAGAAATTGACACAAATGGGTCGCAACGCATATAATAATTAACAGTTTATTTATATTCATATTACATTATTATATGCGTTGCGACCCATTTGTGTCAATTTCTAGATCCCAAATATTAGCGATACTTTGTTTATTATCGCAACGACTGTAGCAATGAAAATCGTGACTATGATATTCTTCAAAGATTCATAACTTCATTTAGAATGAAGTAATTTGACTGAAATTTTCAATATACTCCTTCTAGTTTTTATACTATTATATAGAGATGACTGTCAGCCCTGTATCTAACTCTCACATTGTAAATCTTTATTTCGCTTTTTGAACACCTGACGCGTCAAATAATGATAGAACACAATATGTTCAGATGAACACACCAAATGTGCAACAACCGTTCAAACAAAACCACTTGGGTTTGTTTCAGTGGTGAAACTTAAAAACTCTGAACACGCCTAACAATGGTTAAAATGATGTTATACGCCTGTCAGGCACATCGCTATAGATAAAATGTTGGAATTAACGAAGTTTTCATATACCGTTGGTAAATATTCTTCGTTCTGAGTTCAAAAACACGGGTTTACGGTTTGTGGTGCATTTTTAGACCCATTAACTCAGTTTACACGAGGAATGTTGTGAACACTTAACGTCAAAGGGAGCGTCCTAATCAGAACACGGCCATTTTCTACTTGGAATACCACGCGTTCCAATATGAATGCTATGCGTTCAACTAGGAACCCTATGTGTTAAAAAAAAAAAAACAGGTCGCTTTGCGCATGCGCTGTATACCACGTGACACGACGCTGCTTTTAGGTGTCATTGGTAAGGCTCAAGAAGTATCCCTTTCTCGGTTTTAAATCCTGTTTAATCCTCTATAAAGTACATTTCTATGTTATGTTTGTCTATAAGTTTCTATAAGGCTACAATCTATAGACAATTTTGGTAGGCTTTTTAAAACCGTACATAGAAATATGTTGGTTTTTCATGATAAAATAGTATTTTGTTCAAAGTAGGCTCAATCCGTAATTTCTAGGTATCTTACCTACTTTTATGTTTTTTTTAAAAATACTTTTTCAAGTCAACCACCAATTATTGTGTTATTTTACGTCAAATATGTATGCATAATGAAATGAAATGCGGGGATCACGTGGCTAAGTGGGTAAGACGCTGGCTCGCTAGCCTGGAGGTCGGGTGTTCGATCCCTGCATTGGCCGAGAAAGTTCATCCAGATTTTTCGGCGTGGTTCCCCCTTGTCAGTGATGCAGGACGGAGGGCCTGACAAGGGCAGCTGTCTAGTCCTTCGGATGAGACAAAAAACCGATGTCCCGTGTATACATTGGAATGCACGTAAAAGATCCCTTGGCAGTTGGAATTCGATATAAGAGTAGGCGATAGTGCCGCTGCCCGGGCAAAATTTCCCCCATAGTACACTGTATGGCGTAAGCCTGTCTTCATTAGCCCAGTATATGAGCAGAACAGTAGGACGTTAAACCCCATTTCATTTCATTTCTGAAATGAACCACGCCGGAAAATCTGGATGAACTTTCTCGGCCAATGCAGGGATCGAACACCCACTTAGCCACGTGATCCCCTGATGCATAATGAACATAATGTACTAAAAACATGAACTGCATAACAGGAGCCTAGACCTGAACACAAGTGTGTTCTCTTCTGAATATCGTGTGCTGTTTCTGGACACAAAGTGTTCTTTGTTTAACACAAGGCAAAACTACAAAATGGTTTTGAAAAAAAAAAAGATTGATTTAAAATAGGAGAGGCAAAAGAAAATAGACCATGAGTTCTTTCTTTACTTAAACATACATTATGCAAGAGGTAAATCTGCCTATTGCAGATCTTTCTTTGGGCATGAAATGTTATATAAACTATTAATTAGACATTTATTAACAAAACAAGACCATAATCGACTATCGATGGAATCGGATACTCGAGATTTTAATTAGATTAAAACGGTTCGCTATTTAAAAAATTTAATTTAAAAATGGGAAAGCGAGGCTAAGTCCCGATTATACCAGTGCCTTGGTTTACTTGGTTACCACTGTTCACACATCTTGTCAAAACTACAATAACTTGGCTGAGAATGAAGTAATTTGAATGAAATTTTCAATATTTTCTTTTTTTGAATTATTATAGCAAGAATGGCCAACTCTTTGCTAAACTCTTAACTAATGTATGTTTAAATGGTATGCAATGTATAATTATCATTGTTCTATGTGCTCTTTTACATCAAAATTTCTGGGTGAATTTCAAAATCATTTCGTGCGCAGTCATAAAAACGATCCAAAATGTCATGTTGCAAGCAGTTTTTCTGATTGTGAATTTACAACGAAAAAATGGGTTTCATTTCGTGTTCATACATTTCGTAAACACAGTCACTGTGGGTCAACTTTGACTAATAATGCTTTGCGTGAAA